GCAATAAGGAAATTTGTGGCAATTAAGAGTTGGGTGTTTTTGTTATTGTTTATTGTATTTTGTTATTTGTTATTGTTTAAACTCTCTAAGCTTGATAACATATCAACCACATATGAAAAAGTAAGACAGCAAACAAGGAAAACAAATATACAGAAAGCTCCTCTTAGTAGAAATTGTCAACTATTTACCATAAAGCTTAGTGCTGATTAAAGATTATAAAAGATTGTTAAAACACGCTGGTTACTGAACTGCTGGGTTCAGTGTTTTAGACTACCTTTCAATACCAAATTTAGGTTAACACCTCAATCAATAAAAGGACTCAAATGATCACATTGTGAAAACTTGCCAACATTATAACATAAAAAAAGATTTTTAAATTTGTGTTAATTTAATGACAAAATTCAAAACAGGAATTCCTTCCTACTGAAAAATGTGATGCTTGTATTTCAGTAGTAAGTTATCTTTAAGCCTATTCAACTCCTGCTCAGCTTTAATAATAAGGAACTTTGGCTGAATATGTCTATGTCACTGATGATGTCAATATAGACATTCCGCCACAGATTCAAGCACCTAATTCCACCACTAAAAAATGAAATCAGTAATACAAGGTAACCCTTGGTTTGCAGTTACTATAATAAAATTCAAAGGAAAATATTTAAGTTCCTTTGTAAATCTCCAAGACTGTTTCATTCTTTACCTGTAACAGAAAATAAATCCTTCAGCAGGTCTACCAATGCAAATGATAAACTGCCACTCAGTCCAATTTTCACTGGAAATAATTATGCAGTCAGCCTGGCATTAATCCCTTTTAATCAATTCTTGAAACTGCAAGTTGAAGCATCTTCCCACTGGGATTTCTGCAGTAGTTGTTATCCTGTAGCTCTTCAGGACAATTTGTAAAATATGTAAGCAAAAGCACCAAATGCCATGTTGGCCAGGAGTCAAGGATCATGGACAAACCAATAAAACTGAAAATGATAAGGACAGGGATAATGTCTTTTGGGACATCTATTCTTGTAAGTCTCTCTTTGTGGCTATAATGAAGGTTCCTTGTGGCCAAATGTCTACTTAGTTCAGAAATCTAGTCTTCTTTCAATTCAACATGTATTTAATTTATTTTTATTAGTTTCAGGTATACAAAACAATGTAACAGTCATACAGTTCACGCCTCACAAAGTGATAACCCACCTCCCCCAATCTATTGCCCCTTTGACATCTGATATATCTATTGCACTTCCACTGACTCTATTCCCTATACTATACTCCATATCCCGTGACTATGTATATATTAAATTATAGTTGACATACAATATTATTCAGCTTCAGCTTCAGGTGTACAGTGCAGTGGTCAGGCATCTACACCGTCCATGAAGTGGTCTCCCTAACAAGACATGTGTCCGTCTGACACCCTAAAATACATTTACAATATTATTGATTATATTTCCCAAACTGTCTCATATCCCTGTGACAATATTGTAGTTACCTATTTATGCCGTCTAATCCCTTCTCCTTCTCCCTCATCCCCACTCCCCTCCCATCTAGCATCAGTTTTTCCTCTATATCTCTGAGACTATTTCTGTTTACTTTGCTCATTTATTCAGTTCTTTAGATCCCACATACAAGTGAGATCATATGGTATTTGTCTTTCTCTGACTGACTTATTTCGCTTAGTATGATGTTCTCTAGGTCCATCCATATCAACATGTATTTTAATAGGTTCTGGTGAAACTAAGATGGAAGTTATCTCTATCTACCCATGAGGAAAGAAGATTTTCTAACAAGAGAATGCACTCTAGCACTGAGGATCCCATGTCATTTTCCACTGAATTCCTTCTGGTTTTCTACAAGGATTCTATCAAAGACTTGCCATGCATTTCATTTTTTATTAGAGCTGTATGACTATAAGAAGCATATAAATGCTGAATTTAGGGAATGCAGTAAATTGTCACTTTAGTGCTAAAAAAATATTTTCAGTTAAGTCTAATTGAAACAATGTTTTAATTCCAATTGTAATAATTTGAGTTTGGATACCTAAGTTTCATCATGATTGCCCCCTCCCCCCCCCAAAAAGAACATCGCACCATACTAAATTTAAACATTCAAAGGCTTTCATTTTAGTCAGCATTTTGGAAGTTCTCTGGTTTTGCTTCAGCAAAATATTATTCTTTCCACTCATAACTGCCTAGGTAACCATTCTACTGAGTATCCATTAAAGTAAATATGCTAAATAGATAGATCATGTTACATAATAAAAAGTAATCATTCTAGTAGAATAGGGTGAATGCTACAGCAAAATCTGCTGGTAAAACCTTACTAATTTGATATAGGGTCATAATGGATTAAGATTCAGTCTTTATGTTAAAAACAAACTCTAATTTTTAGTGTTTTTCAAAAGCATACAGCAAATAAACATGGCTAATAGACTTGACAATTAGTAGTTATTTGTAACTTGTATAAATGAGTAAATATAAATTATTTGTAATTAATATATTATTTTTTGTGAATAGATATTTCTATAGGCCCCATGTCCATGTTTAGCTTATGTATAGCACACTATATGTTTTATTTATTTGTATACATGATATTAATTTTTTCATCCTTATTATTGATATATAAATCTATCTACCTGCAGATCTAATATATCTATAAATATCAATATCTCTCTGTATATCTATCTTCTATCTATCAAGCCACTAGAAAAAGTTCTTTATCCATAATGGCCAAAATAAATTTCATAAACAAATCCTTTCTAGATAAATATGATAAATGTGAACTAGAGGTTAGACTGTGCTAAAATTATCACAATCAACATTTTTGAAATGATAGTTACTAAGGTAAGAATACAATTATGCAGAATCTAATCAGGTTGGAATATGTGAATTAACTGAAAAATAACGGAACTATAATCAACAATTTGGATGCAAGTGCATTTTAGCATTTTTAAAATATTAACTACAAAGCTCCTCTTTCTGTTGACTTTCATTTTTACTTCACTAAGAACCTGATTTTATCCTACACCTTTCTTATTGATTGCTGACCTTTTCCTGTAATTTGGTGTTAAATGCTATGTAATAAATGTATTACTAGTGTAACATGACCTGAAATAAATCAGTACATTGAATGTGACCATGAGAAATAGATCCAATTCTTGACTTAACCAAGACTAAAGAGGTCTTATTTATCCACTTCCTTTATTCTATTTTGTTTTTTCCTACTACCTTTGTTTACTAATACACTATTAACAATCAAATTAGTGATAATTTTAGCATGTTATTATATCCAAAACCTTTGTTTCAGTGTTTTATTAGTAAAAGGCAACAACATAGTCTTGACTATGAAAAGCCATTGTCTGGTGAAGTCCTTTTTATGCCTTAAATTAGGACACACTAATTTTTGAGATCATCTCTCTAAGGCCTTCTGTTGAGAAGGAATAAATGGCTAAAGTGTCTTTCCATGTTATGTTAAATATCCCACGTTGAGCAATGATAAACAAGTAAAATAGACATATTGAACAACAAAATTTTTGGTATATTCAAACTATGATATAATTATTATAAATATCCCATGTATTAATATGATAATATAATGTGAAATAGTTCAAGATTGTAGTTATTAAGATTGGAAGGTAAATCAACAGTGGACTGTGAATCATTACGTTATTTGATGATACAAATAGCATTATTATAAAACCTAGAGCTGTTTTCTTATCTTTATATATGTTGAGCGCCTCCTGCCTCTCATAGGGAAGGGATAATATTAATGTCCTTACTTAGCTTAGTATGCTGTAAGGTCCTATACATGTAACTTTTAGACTCATAATTACAGAAACAACAATCTACTGCAAAAATGTTCTAAAAACTCCTTCATGCTCAGGATCCAAAATGGGAAAACCCAGATCTTATCAATACATAACCCAGCCTCTTTGATTTGTTTTCTTCATTTGTAGTGATGGGAACTATCATTTGATTGAATTGACACATCAGTCATTGAACTGTACAATCTGGTTCAAGATTGTGATTATGGGGGGCCGGCCGAGTGGCGCGATGGTTAAGAACTGGCTTGTAATGCCAGAGGGCCCCGGTTCGGATCCCACATATGAGGGCCAGTGACACTGCCCTCTACAGCTAAGATGCTGAACAACAGCTCAACCTGGAGCTGGGCTGCCAGGAGTCGCTGGCGATGGCGTGGGCTGCAGCCCCTGTGGCAGTGGGTTGCCATGGGCTACCGTGTGTAGCCAGCAGCCAGCGTGAGCGGCCAGCAGCCGCAGTGAGCGGCCGTCCAGAAGCCGGCGACTGATCTGCCTCACCAGGGAAGAGCGCAATGGTGGTGCCAACTTGGGCCAGTGAAGCAACGTCCTCCACAACTAGATTGAAGAAGAAAACAACAGCAACTTGTCTGTTCCCCTTCCCCCAATTCCCCAGCACTGTTCCTATCCCCCTAATTCCCCAATAAAAAAAAAAATCTTTAAAAAAAAAGATTGTGATTATGTTGCTTGATATACCAATAGTCAAACTTGAAAAACACTGAAAAATTATTTTGTGTTTTCTTAGTTGTCTTTATTTTGTCTTATTTTTTGGTTTGGGGGCCATGCAGTATTATTCAAAGTTGCCCAACATATGATAGTGATTTCTTCACAATTTCTTTCTCAAACTTAGCTGCACATTGGAATCACCTGGAAAACTAAAGATTGCCAATATCTGAGTTCTACCCCCAGAAATTATGATATAGTTTGGATGGCAGCCTGGGTATTGGGTCTCATAATATCTCCCCTCCAGGTGATTATAATGGGCAGCCGATTTGGCACATTCAGGTATACATAAATATGATGTTCTTATTACCACTCATTGCCGGATTGCCACCCAACATTTTCAGTCATCCCAGTTACTGAAAAGATGGTCTCTCTTTCTCTCTCTCTTACTACACAATTTTCTGTCCATACATGAATGTGCCTTATCAAAAAAAAAATCAATTACTCTGACACATGTTAGAGGCAAGGACAATAACTTTTAACAGTGTTTATTTTTGTTAAAAGAAACGGATAGAACTGAAGGTCAAATCACCTTCTGATTGCACAGATTAAACAAGAAAACATTTTATATTTTAGCTTTACAAAGCATCTTATTGATTTAAAAAGATCCATACTATTGATGAAGTTCATGGTGAAACATATTGTAATAAAAAGACTAAAATATTTATTTTACATATCTACAACATGTATTCTCATATTTCTAGATCAACCACAAATCATACAGGAAAATATTTAGGTACATAAAAAAGCTTCATAACATAAAAAAAATTAACATTTTGAAAAAAATCACATGTGAATGCTCATTAAATAATAACATTGACAAATAAATAGTTAATCAGCTTTACTTATTAGCTGCTGCCATGCATTTCTGGCATTCCATTCCAAGCAAGGGTCAGCATGCAGGGTATAATTTCATACTATGAGACTGTAAAAGGCTACAGGGCTTATTTTTGAAGTGAAATGTCACAAGGTCTTTTACTGTTTCAAAGGAAGATCACTCGTGGCTGCTAACCTGTTCCCATGAAGATTACCAAAAAACCATCTTTCTGAAGTGTTATTGGAAAGATTCATGACAACTTTTTTTTTTAACTTTTCAGTTTTGAAGGGGTTTTGTTGAGGGGGATGGGTCGGGGAGTGAAGGGTTACTGAGAAGCCCTTCTCTGTTTTTAAAAGTAATGATTCAGTATATAGTATGTATATAGTATCCCCAGTCTTTCAAGAACCATGGAGAATTAAAACTACAGGATGCATGGAATTTAAATGCAAATTGCACTGATGGATTTGCATACATCTTGAAAAACTTGAAAAGTTCTTTCTAAAGTAGGTCCTGATACTTAGGACAGCTTGCTGGGTTTGATCAAAGCAGAAAGCGTATATTTTCAAGTAAGAAAATAGCAATGGCAGGCTTGAGTCTTCCAAGCACTCAAATCTGTAAAGCAGATGGTTACTAGTCAGTCCAGTTTTGAGAGTCTGAGTTCTAACTCACGCTGTGCTTGCTGGATTTGCTGGCTCTTTTCCTCTCTCGGTGATGCTGGGCTGGCTTGGCAGGCGACATGCTCTCAAAGTTATGACTGGACTCATTGTGCTGCCGAGTGTACCTCTTGCACTTGCAGGCGGTGACCACCGTGATTTTGTAGGTGCGCGTGCTGCCATCTTGGCACTGCAGCTGGATTCTCTGGGTGCGCGTTTTGTCGTTGACACACCTCCACTCCTGGGAGCTCCTCCTGCTCCAGTACTTGGTTCCGTAGCCTCCGCCAATCCAGTTGGGGAGCACAGGCAGAGGCAGGCACTCACCAGCACAGACCAGCTCCTTCAGGGGGCTGATGCTGGTGCACTGGCCATCAGAGATATACTTGGTGGAACGCAGTTCCCGGCAGCCCACCTGAACCCGAGCTGCAGGAAGCAGAAAAGAAAGTGCATCAGAGGCAAAAAGCAAACGGACATTTCTTTTCAAGTAATCTGCAATGACAAAAATAATATGTTAATGCTAGCAAATTGTCAACTAGGAAGTGGTAATAGAGACACTTTCATGGACATTTTCAGGTTACATGGCTATAAATAGCCATAGAATAAATAAACTAGGCTTGATTTTTTTTTCTTTTCATGTATGACATCAGCTAATTGCTTAGTGGTGTATTTGAAAATTTCATTTTCTTAGTCTCACTCCCCAAAGGTTAAGCAGCTGTTCCATTTATGTGAAAAAATCTTCATTTTTCAGTGAGCTAAAAAAGAATATTTTAATGTTCTTTTTCTCACAGGTCACTTTTGTTAATATCTGCAAGTGCTTCTAATTAGGTTTTATAAAAAAATCTATTGAGAAAAATGTGGAAAGTATTTAAATATTGTGTACAAAGCATATGCTGTCTGTAATATTTTGTTTCAATTATAAAATTTAGCTGCAAGGAATCATGCATACCTATGTGTACAAAGTCTGACATTTTGCATATCAAACTTAATAATTACATTTTAAACATAAATCCCCAAGCTATCTTTCAAAAACACAAAGATTAAAATGTTTGAAATGCAAAATGTCACTACAACTCAAAATTTAAAGAATATAAAAGCCCCTAAATCAGGAACGTATGGTTGCCATAACAACTTGGCTACATTTCCATGAATTTTATGGCAGAAAAATGCCTAACATGTCTGATTTACAACTGCAAAAGGAACCACGGTGTTCATTTCCTGAGTTGGTCATGGCAAACGTTTTGTTTAGTTATTTGAATTTGATAAGTATGTCTTCTCATTGGCTGTTTTTTGTAACATGCCTTATGTAATTAAAGCAAAAATTAGACTTAAAATGTTTGAGTTTTTCTTTCTATTGCTTTGTTATCTCAACTTCAGGACAATTGCCTGTAAAAAGCTTGAAAAGAAAGCAAGCCTTGCCTGTTAACCAGGGAAAAACATATTGAAAAGTATAACTGCTGAAATTTAAAAAATTAAAAAGTATCAGGGACATTGAAGTAGTCTTGCATAGAAGAGAGAAAGCTCATTTGAAATAGACATTGAATTAGGAGTTCAACTTCATCTCTGTGCCCCAGTATTCTGAGGTGAGAGAAACAGCTTAAAGGAATGTGATAGCTGTGAAAGCGTGTATGTACTATATACGCCTTTATCCATATAGCTATAGAGTGTGGGATTAAAATTAAGGGTAAACCAGCTGGCCAGGCAGAATGCTCTCCTGTCTGATCCTGATTCCAGCTCACCTTCCTGCAGCTGCCTTAGGAATGCACCTGGAAACAGCCGGAGACAATTTTGACTTGTCTAGCTTTTTGTTCCTGTGTATGTAGAGATTCGGCATTTTTGCAGTGACAGTTCACTGACAATGGATACCCACCACATTGCTCAGTAATCTAATGATAATCAGATATTTCCTGTGTAAAAGCAAACATTTCATGAAAGTTAAAACACCTTGGTTTTCTTAGAAAGACATTAGCAGTCATACTCTACGCACTTTGACTTTTCAAAGGTCAAAACTACTTTTCACAGCTGAATAGATTGGAGGAGGAGCAAAAGATTTCCTGTACACTGTTCCTGTGTGTGTCTTTCAAAACCTGATTATTTGCATGTGAACTCTTCTAAAGGAAAGGAGTGAAGCAAAAGTGAGGAAAAGAAACTTGAATCCCTCTAACTCGTGGTCAATGAGTGTGTCCATGAAGCAAACAGAAAAGGGGAAGAAATGCTGCCTATAGAATATATTATTACACTGCTATTATTTTAAATCTCTAAAGTTATACAAGTTTCCCCAGTCTTTCACAAAAATGTAAATTACCTAAATTTTGATCTGGTTAATAAGGAATTGTCTTAGGAAAATATGATTCTCCAACATTTTTAGCTTTGTTCCTTTTTCACATTGATCATCATCAAAACGTACAACTATTTCACTAGACATATTTTAGAAATTCATGGTGTGTGATTTTTTCCCAGAAAGCATCTTTTTTTCCCTTGTGATTTCCTATATATTCTTTAGTTAGTTACCTTTATGCAGTTTACCAGAATTGCATATGTCCTGAAATAAACAGAAAATAACCTGCATCTAAACTATCTAGAGCAACACTTTTTAAAGGTTCTCATAGTGCATGATTTAAAGAAGCAACAGTTTAACTCCTGGAAAAACGTTCTCTTTCGAAGTTTGATAAAACTGAAGTCTGCTTGTATGATCAAGTCACTGGTTTAGTTATGTTCCCCTTATAGGGAAGCATGCCAGTATACACATGCAGCAAATTACTCCCAGATTATTTAGCAAAAAAATATATATGGTTCAGGTTAGTTAAGAATGAAATAATTATACAGGCATGTGAGCTGATGCTACTCAAAGAGCAAAGACAAAATCCATGCAAGCAAAACACACTTACTGTTCCGATCCAGTCCAGCATTACTGAAGTGCCTGCCTCCGTTCCTGGCTTGATTCATCGTGCTGTTGCTGCTGGGCTGTGCGGGAACAGGCTTCACCACATGTGAATACAGGATTTCTGTGGCATCGTTTTTAAAAGCCAAACAGCTTTTCATTAGGATGCATGCAAGGGGCATGAGATAGAAATGAATGGCAGGAGGGAGCATGGTGAGTGGAGGATTTGCTTGGCTGGAGAGCGGGTTAATGCCTTTCCCTCTGCTTCTGCCCTGTAACTGTGAAATTCCTCCTCAAGGTCCCCTTTATATATCCCTGAGGTTTGGCGTTCATTCAGGTGTAAAGTTGTGTAGAGCCTCAGAGTGAAAACACAGAGAAGGGGTGGGATCCCGACATGACCCTGCAAAAGAATTTTACCAATGGAAGAGGAGGCTATAGAAAAGGAGGAGCTTGGTATCCAAATTGCTTGAAATCTCAGAGTTGGACTTCATCAGTTGTCTGCAAGCTTAAGCAGCCAGACACATTCTATAGCAAGTACAGACTCTCCCTCTCCCTCTCTCTCCCTCTCTCCCTCTCTCCCTCTCTCCCTCTCTCCCTCTCTCCCTCTCTCCCCTTTCCTTTCCTGAATCTAGTTCACATTCGGATTTAATTTCAATAAAAATACGCTGCTGTTCATTTGAAGAGATTTACATTTCCACAGTTCTGTACCCCCCTCAGATTTTAGAATATTTGGGGTAGAGAGGAGGTTCATCCCAGATCATAGGAGGGATTCATGTGAGTTTAAATACTGTAGGACTTGAGTGAAGCACCTAGTTTAGTTAAACATATTTTATTTCTCAAGAAGCAAACCAATATATATATATATATATATATATATATATATATATATATATATATATATATATATATATATATATATATATATATTCTTTAAAGTGTAAGGCACTGAGCTAGAATCTGCCCCCTGGACATACTTAAATAATGCAGCTTTGATCTGCATCAACCACTGCACTGCTAGGTAAATTATTGCCAGGGGTTCTGTGCAAAGAATAATGAGCTCTGTCTGCATTCAAGTAACTAATATCAATTTTCATCTTAAAAATGTGTCGCAAGCAGTAACATTCATAGCATCATTTTCCATGAAGGACAGCCATTTCCGACAGATTATTGATTTGCAATTTCAAAATAATTTTTACTAGTGTCCTACCTGTATTGACTAAACGTTTCCTTTGACTCTGCTGCCCATGTAAGAAACATTGTACTCTTGTGAACTTCTTTTTCCACACCTGTAGCAGATGTTCCATTAATTAATTCTAGGCTACTCATCTCCATCCTTAAAAAAGTCGTGAAATTCCATCTGCAATGAGACATTTTGATTGGAATAATTACATATTCTGAATCATCTTTCCAATTTTAAATCCATTTTGTCCTTTGTGTAGCTACTAAAATGACCTTATAGCATGGATATTTTATATCTTCTTTAAATTTTTTTCCATTGTAACTCTTATTTCTATCTATCTATCTATCTATCTATCTATCTATCTATCTATCTATCATGTTTCTCTACAGCAGCACTACTGACATTTTAGAGTAGATAATTCTTTGTTATGCTGCACTGTTCTGTGCGTTTTACAGCATACCTGGCTTCCACCCACTAGATGCCAGTAGCACCCCCACACACACAACCAGTTATAACCAAAAATGTCTCCAGACATTGCTAAATGTCTCTGTAGGCTAAAATCACCCCCAGTTGAGAACTACTAATTATCTATCTGTCTATCTATTTATCACACTATAAAAAGAAAGTGAAACAAAGAACAGAAGACTAATGATACCAAGAAATTATTGTTCTTTTATTTAGGAATCAAGTTGTACTGTGGTTTTATTTAAAAACAATGACTGCTTCTCATTTAGAAGTACCATATGCTGAAATACTCCTAGATGAAATGATATGATGTCTGGAATAAACTTAAAAAATAACATGGGAGGGGGTGATTCGAGGTCAGAGTGGGGCAAGATGGGTTAGAGGCTGATGGTTGTCGGGGATAGATGATGGATGTTCTGTTGTTTATTCTTGTGTGTGTTTTCAAAATCCTACATAATCAAAAATTTAAAAATAGAGTAAAAAAATTTAATGTATACAGACTGCTGAATAACAATCAGATCTCTATCTGAAAGTTTTGTGTAGTCATTTATTCTCACATCATTCCTGGAAAATAATATATCAGTTTATTATTAGGTGCATATGGAGATTGTATGTCAGGCATCCTTCTAAAGTACTTACGGTGAAGAATTTCTTATTCTGCTTATCAGGGAACTTGACATTAATTACATGAAGTATGATAATATTAACCATTGACCAGTAGATCCAATGCCTAAAGGGAATAAGAGGATCAAAATAGCCTAAGCTCCTCTCCATTACTATTTTTTTGTGCCAGGAGGAGGAGATATTTTAATTTGCAGTTTAATTATTAGGTTGCGCTAATCAGGTTGACCAAAATAACTCATAATTGTTAAATCTGCACTGCACCTACTATTCTGTAGGCTCAGCCTTAGGCTATCACCTCAGGTGGAAGCAAAATTAAGAATGAAGATAATGTAGTCGTATAATGCTGAGTTCTTAAGCCCAAAATATCTGGCAGGACCAGATTAGAAAACTACTTTGATAAAATAGGAACAATTATAAATTGATATTTAACTGTTATTCTGGTCAGTTTAAAACTACTTCATTAAGAATAATCACAAACTGTAATGCTCTGATAAGATTATGGGCATAGATATTTTATATCATAATTGATTGAAGAAATATTCCCCTGAGCAAGGTTTGTTCTTTCTCATCTCCAGGCCTCTGTATATACATGTTTCTCCTTCCTGGGACAGCCTTCTCTCACTCTTTGAGAAGATACCTGTTTTCCCTTCAACTCTCATCTTTTATGGCCCTCGGTCTAACCTAAGACAACTTCCCTTGCCCTGTGCCTCCTCAGGTCTGGAGTCAGCACATCAGCCATATGTGTTAGAGAGACTAGCCTGATGGCTTTGAAAGTCTTATAATAGAAGAACTATTTCCATTTTATGAATATTGTTGAATAAGTGGATAAATTAATTATTTGAAAAATATATAAAAACTATCCTTTCACATATAAAAAGATCAGTTAATATTTGAGGTAGGCAATTATTAAGATGGCCCCTAATAATCCTTTCCTCATGGGAGTCACACCCTTGAAGCAATCCCTTGAGTATGGGTTGGACCTAGTGACTAACTTTTAATGAATATAATCTATTATATAAAGTGATGAGATGAGAATTCTGTGATTAGGTTACCAAAAGACTGCAGCTTCAGTCTTGCTTGCCTGCTCTAGCTCTCTTATTTGCTTTGATGGAAGCCAGCTCCCATGATGTAAGCTTTCCTATGGAGAGGCCCAAATAACAAAAAATGGATGTCTCTCACCAACAAGGAACTGAGGCCCTCAGCCAGACAACCCATGAGGATCTGAATCCTATCAGCAAGCACATGAATGAGTCTGAAAGCCAATCTCCCCACAGTCAATCCTTCAGATGAGGCTGCAGCCCTGGCTTACACACTAAGTACAACCTTATGAGAGACGTTAAACCAGAGGCACCCATAGGAACTAGGCAATAATAAATGCTGTCTTAATTAAATTTAGGGGTAATTTGTTACACAGCCATAGATAATCAATATAATATTATCTGTTTATAAATTAAGATATAGTAATTCAGCCATCCGTTTTGTGAATAATGCTAGAGCCTTAAAAGCATCCAATGTGGACCATTAAATATGGTGACTGTGCAACTTTCGTTCTTTGGGCAAGATTTAAAACCTGTTTTCCAGTCCTTGGCTGAGTCATCAATGTGGTGTTATTAATAATCAAATAATAATATTAAAATTACTACGATTGGACTGATATGCAAAACCTGGAGAGTTATTTTAATGCTCTAAATAGCGTTGTCTGTCATGTGATTCCTGGCACTGGAATCAGAAAATCAATTTGAATCTTACTGTTACCATTTACAATCTGTATGAACTTGGATATATTTTCTGAAACTCTCTAAGTCAGTCCTTTCATCTGTAAAACATAACCAAAGCTACCTCCCTCACAGAGGAATAGAGACTATGAAAGTGTGTAATGTAAAACCTGGCCCAGAAGAAATGTGGAAAAAATAATCATTGAATATGAGTCTAAAAGCATTGTTTCTCATTAGGGTCTTTGAATTTAAAAATGACTTTGGAAAGATTAGAGAAGTCTCAAACAAGTACAATTACCCTATTGGAGGTGTGGAACAAAAAGTTGAGAGAAAAGAGATTGTTTAACCTGATTAAATACGAAATAATATGTAAATGTCATTTCATTAAAAAAAAATTAGCCTGGCTGATTATTTTTTATCTTTGACAGAGAAAGAATCAGAATACAGGTACATATGAACAAAATATGTTTATTGAATGCAACAATGAACTGTATCTGGCTCCCTGGGGGTTAAACTATTTTCAGAGTTCTAGTTAATAAGGGAGAACTTTGTAACTGGAAAAGTAATGAACCATCAATAGTGTAGAAGAAAAAGAAAAAACTATATGGAATCTTCATGCATAAAACTATAGAATCTTCATGCATAAAAATCCTTAAAAAGTGGATGGACTACCATTTTCAATCATTTCATATCAATATGCATTGAGCCCCGTGTTTGCCAAAACCAGAGTCCAGAGACTGCAAATCTGAAGGAGACACGGCTGCCCTCTTCCCTTTCCCAAAAGCTTCCGCTTAGAATTCCACTAAACGTTTCTGAACCTGATCTTCCTGTAAAATTTTCTTCTTCCTTCACCACCTTTAGTAGTCATCTCTTTATTTTGTTTAAATGTGGTGGGTTTTTTTTATTTTTAGTTTTATTTGTAGAATAAATGTTCCTTTTACTATAATCTGCCTCAGCATAGCATTAATTTAGATAATGCTGCTTATAATGCCCTGTGCTGATATAAAACCCAGATAGAAATTCCAAATCCAGTTGATATATTTCTAGAGAGAGCTTCTCAATCTTGGCACTATTGACATTTTTGGCCAGATAATTCTTTGTTGTGGGAACTGTACTGTATTTTGTAGAACGTTGAGCAGCATTCCTGGACTCTACCCACTAGATGTCAACAACACATCCCTCACCCAGTTGTGACAGCTAAATGTCCCCTGGTGCACAAAATCTTGCTGGTTTATAAACTACTGATTTAGGCAAATTTTCCAATAAACTTCCCAAATATGCCAGCAAAGCCGCTGTTAAGGAAAACCTCATCTGCCCGCTCTAGGGAGCAGATTAGGACAATAGAGAATAGGGAGAATAGTAAGGTGTCCTATTAACTGGCATTTGCTACCTCGTGCAGTAACAATTTGATGTCCTCACTCTGTGTATTCAGCCCACACAAGTCCCTAAACTAAATTTGACAAAAGCTGGCAGTATATCCTACTCCCAGTGGCGGGGGGGGGGGGGGGGGCTGGAATTAGTTTTGTTCCACTAATAGCTCTTCTAAACCACTGTTTTACCCGG